CATTTTGATAATATGTATATACATAGATATGACTAAATTGTGTGTGTATATATATATATATATATATATATATATATATATATATATATATATATATATATATATATATATATATATATATATATATGTGCCCTGCTAAAGTTATGAATTTTACATTTGCCTCTCTAGATTTAAGTTTTGCATATATTCCTCTGAGTGGTCTATCATTTGTTTTCTAGTTGGCACTCTAATTAAACATCAATGCCTTTTAAAATCCCTTCTCTAATAGTAAGAAATTAAAGGATATTTAAATATTTTTATATCATATATATATATATATATATAATTTAGTGAGTAAGATCTTTAACCCCCTTAATATATATATATATATAATTTTATATATATATAATTATATATATATATACATATATGTATATATATATACATATATATGTATATTATATATATATATGCTAATCTTCGTTGGTCTCTCTAACCCCCTTGATGAAGGAAAAAGGTCTGTCGAGTTGTGCTAATCTTTGTTGGTCCCTCAGATCCCCTTGATGAAGGAAAATAGCCTTCCCTATTATGTGTAATCCCTTGAATGTCTTGCTTGAAGGTTAACTAGCATGGCCGTACAGAATTTGAAATTTTGAGGCCTTATTCTCCGTCAAATTTGTCCAATGATTCCACTTTTTCTTAGCCATCACATCCAAGTAGGTCCCTACATCACCTCCACCTTTTGATTATCACTACATTAGGAAATGAAGCAGACAAGCTACCTTTGGTAGAACATATCACAATTGGTGTGGATTTGTTGACTTGTCCTATTCTAAGTACTCTTCGAAGGTTATTTAAAAACGTGTCGAACTCCTTTGTTCGATAACTAATAGGACTAGTGTACTTGGTCCCACCTATTCTTTCAAAACTTGAGAAGGTTACTTAACTTCGCTTGTGGTTGTGCTTTATGCATTAAGCTGGTTATTAGCCTTTGCTTGTTTTTTTGCTCACACTTCTAAAACACTCAAAATGTTGTATTTGTGCTAAGTTAGCTAGTGAACTTCGCCTTTTCGTTGCCATTAAAATTCCAGAATACAAGAAGTATTGCTAGGAGTAAAAATTTGCCTCGATTAGAGCAAATCTTTGATAGATTTGGTCATCTCTATAGGATTGTACGAACTTCTTTATCATTTTTGTCACCTACTCTCATGAGTAGAATAGGTACCACACCGCATGTTGCCTATTCCGTTCCTTGGTCGATCACTACTACATCGACTCAAAGACCCCTCATTTTTGGCTATTGATGAGAAGTCTTTCGACAAAGGTCTCATAAAGTTCCCTGGTTATTGCCCCTTTATCTTGTCTTGTTACTAGGAGCAAGCACTACATTCTCCACTTTCCCTGCCCCTTTCCACAACCATTATGCTATCCCCCCATAAGAGTGAGGAATCAAGGGCTCCATGGAAATCCCGTCTTCACGATACAGTGATGTGTGCTCCTGCACACGATCCTACTATCCTTCATCTCAAAATTGTGTCCCTTCTCTTCTCTTTGCAATTCAAAATATTTAGACATTGTGACACTCCCTCCAAGTCTATCTTCGTTTTGACCATATTTGATTTTGACTAGTTAAGTCTCTTTGGACTCATTGTCACTACTTTACCCGTTTTGACCACTTCAACACCTTTGTGCTATCCAAGTAGTTCTCCCTTAGTTGATGGAAAGTCGATTGCAACTCTTACACATGGCTTTTGCCATCATGTTGCAATGCTCGTGTCGATTTTTTTCTCTTTGTGTCCTTGGTAACAATATTTGCTTACTTGGTCTTGTTTATTGACTTGTTAGGCTTGCAATATAAGCTTTGGAGAAGCCCACCATTGAGTATATACTATCGTACCTTAGTATGATTAAGTCCCTCATAGAACTTAGTGGTTGCACTCAAAAGATCCATCCTTGTGGTATTGTGCCTCCATCGTAGATGTCCAAGTTTTCATCTGATGCAAATTTGGTGCATGCACGACAGTGATTTAAAAGGGCGCTCGCTTAGGCGCTCGGGCGAGGCGAGGCCCGAGCGCCTCGCTAAACTTCCAAGCGGCGCGCTTCAAAGAGGCGTCGCTTGGGCGCTCGCCCGAGCCCAGGTGCTGGGCGCTTCGAGCTGTTAGGATCGGAGCGGCACTAAGAGGGGGGGGTGAATTAGTGCAGCGGATTAAAACTTGTAAGTTTGAAACCGAATTCGTAAATACGAGGAGATTTCGTTTCGATAGTAACTTGAGTAGATGAAAACCGAAAACTAGCAGTAGTGTAAATAACAATTTCAGGAAAGTAAGAACTCACACATTCAAGGAACACACCAATTTAAAGTGGTTCGGTCAAAATGACCTACATCCACTTGCGAAGCCTTCTTCGAAGAGGCTCCCAACTTCCACTAGCAAATCACTTTGAAGGGGAAGGACAAATACCCCTCTTACAACCTTTTACAAGTGGTTCACACTCTTACAAATTTTCAAAGAGAAAGAGGGAGGTGAACACTCAAGCTATTGAAAACAAAAACTTGCTAAAGGCTTTGCTAAGACTTTTATCTCAATCTTTTGCTTCTTAAAGGTTGTAAGCTCAGCTGAGAATTGAGGGGTATTTATAGGCCTCAAGAGGATTCAAATTTGGGCTCCAAATTTTGAATTCTCTTGGGTTTCCGAGGTTGGCGATGCCACCGCCTGTCTGTGTCTGACACAGACAGTGTACTGACGGTGCCACCGCCGGACCTCTCGAGTGCTGGGCGGTGCCACCGCCCAGTCCGGCGGTACCACTGCCCGATCCTCGGGTTCTGGGCAGTGCCACCGCCCAGTCTGACAGTGCCACCGCATGGACTGTTCCAGCTCACTGGTTGGGCTCCAAACTTGTCCCAAACCAGTCCGATGTCAGGCCCAATTGGCCCTTAATCAGGATATAGGATTATCCCTTAATCCTAACCCTAATTACATACTACGTAACTAAAAACATAATCCTAAGCAAGTTTTTAATCGGCAAATGTCGAGTCTTGTTCCGGCGAGCTTTCCGGCGATCTTCAGGCGGACTTCCGATACGCCCTCGGATTTCTTTCGGTGGACTCCCAACAGGCTCCCGATCTTGTGACGAATTCGACGAGTAGCCGAGCCTTCTCGGTGATCTCCGCGAACCTCTGACGATCTCTTCGGCGGACTTCCGAAAGTTCTGACAAGTCTCCGATTTCTTCTTGGTTGGTTCCGGCAGCATTTCCGACGAATCTTCGGACTCTTAAACGTCCATCGAACTTGACTCCGGTATCCTTGCTTTATTTTTCAGGCTATCGTAGTTAATCCTGTACACTTAACTTCAATAATATGGATTAGATCAATTAACCCATCAATTGATTTCATCATCAAAATTCGAGATTCAACAATCTCTCCATTTTTTATGATGACAATCAATTGATGACGGAGTTAAACATAATTCCCCCTATCTATATGCCATATTATGAGAAGATAAAAACACTTGAATTCCATCCCTTTGAATTCAAGCATAAACCGATAAGTTCTAACCGTTGAACTTATCGTTATTCTCATTAAGCATGAGCAAATACGAAACTTTGTATTTCTCATATTTTCCAGCT